CCAGACATCAAGCCGTGTGATTCTAGAAGGAAACATGGGAGAAAACACTTGTGATTTGAATCAAGCAAAGTTTTCTTAGGTCGAACACTAAGGGGTTGGCTGGGGGTGAGGTGGCTGCAGGGTGTGGGTGGGGTGAATGCAGGGGTGACTGTAGGGGTGGGGTGATGGCAGGGGCGGAGTGACCACAGGGGTGACTGCAGGGTGAAGGTTGGGTGGCTGCAGGGGTGGGGGTGGGATGATTGTGGGGGTGGAGTGACTGCAGGGGTGGGGGTGGAGTGATCGCAGGGGTGACTGCAGGGGCGGGGGTGGGGTGATTGTGGGGGTGGAGTGACTGCAGGGGGCACAAGACAGAGCTGAGGCTGGTGGCACTGTCTTGTATCAGCACTGTGGTGGGCGCACGCATGTGCCAAAGCCCAGAGAACTGTCCAGCATGGACAATGAACCTTACTGAGTGTAAATAAAACAAAAGTCAGTATGTGGGGAAGCGGAACAGGAACGCAAAAGCTGAGACAAATGGAGAGCACAGCCACACTGGAGAGGTGGGGAAGGAGAGAGCTGAGCTAAGTCTGGAAATACTGTTGGAAAACAGTAATTGTCTGGATGCCACAGGCTGTAAAGGACTGTGCACAGCGTCCGTCACCCTAGTTGGCAGATGTTTCCCACAGGGTGTATGGTAAGCAACTGTGAAGCTGCTCCATGTGTACACTGGGGCTGAGCATGTGAGGACATGCAGTGTATAAAGTGGGAGCCAAAGAAAGGAATTACAGATAATAGTGGGGGGGCTGGAATGGAACTTGACTTGTTGGCCTGGAATTGGAGGTATCATTATGAACTCACAGTTTATAACAGACGAATGATAGATGATCAATCGATAGATAGATGGATAGATAGACGAACAGACAAATGGATGGATGGATAGAAGATGGACAGATGGATGGATGGATGATGGACAGATGGATGGATGGATGGACAGATTGGACAGATGGATGGATGAATGGATGATAGACAGATGGATGGGTGGATGGATAAATGGACAGATGGATGATAGACGGATGGACGGATGGATGGACGGATGGATGATGGATGGATAGATGGATAGATGATGAACGGATGGATGGATGGACAGATGATGGATGGATGGACAGATGGATAGATGATGGAGTGATGGACGGATGGACAGATGATGGATGGATGGATGGACAGATGATGGATGGACAGATGGATAGATGATGGAGGGATGGATGGATGGATAGATGATGGATGGATGGATGGATAGATAGATGATAGATAGATGGACGGATGGATGGATGATAGATGGATGGATGCAGAAATACGCACAGGTATGTGCATGAATACTCCCATGCTCCTCCCCTAGGATGGCCTAGAGATAATGCTGCTCCCCCACCCCAGGCAAGAGCACACCCAGCACCCAGCGAAGTTGGTCCCTAAACACCATCCCGCAACTGGAGGAAGGTGCTCCTTGGGGCAGGGACATTACAAGCCCGTCCTGGGCTGGCAGAAAGTAGGAACGAGCTCACTCAGCAGACGGGATGTCAAGGGGACACAGGAGTCATGCAAATGCACGCTCAGTGGCTCAGGCTGGAACAACCTGCCAGGAAAGCAATTAGTGATGGTGTTGGGTTGTAACCCACAGAATAAATTAAATATGACCGAGTCTGCACTGGCATGAATAACTGGATAAAGAAAGGAATGGAAGGACATGGGTGGGTTTTCTTCAGAGAATGGAATAAAACAGCAGCGATGGGGGCCCAGGAAATCCCGTTAGGGCCCCGCAGTCTCCACGGCCGCAGGAAGGCTGCTGCTGACAGGCACCAACCTCAGTGCGCAGAAGCAGGACATCTGTGGCCTCAGGGGCCCCTCCCCACGTATTTACTAGTTAGGACACCGGAGAGCGCAGAGCCCGGCAGGTGCTGCCGTCACCGGTGATAGAATGCACGGATGCGCTGTCACTCGCGCGGCGCCTGGGGCTGCCCCGGCCATCAGAGAAAGAGTTAAGCCCAGGGCCACCGCACACGGGACATCAGGCTGTCAGAGCTCCTGTTTCTGCCATGTGATGGGCCAGCCTGGTGCCACTGTTTCAGACACTTTTTCCTACTTTGGCGAGTGTTCGAGAACACTCTCCCTCACCCCTGGGCGGCTGGGTGGAGGGGAGGCGTGCCTCCCCCTGGGCTCCATGCCTGCACACCCCTAGGGGTGCCTGACCCCCACGAGGGGTCTGCTGTGCAGTGTGTCTGGTGCTGCCGCCGCTCCCCACCAGCCCTGAGCTGAGGCTGCCCCACTGTGAGCATCCTGGGAGCCCTGTCCAGGCTCCGAGGCCACTGAGGGGCAGCCCAAAGGCTCCCCAGGGAAGCTGTGTCTGCCCAGGATCTGCTCCCTGAGTCCCTGCTTTCCTGGCCCTGGGCCCCCCAACAGGGGGGGACCTGCTCACAGCTCCAGGGGCATCGAGCAGCCCTGGGTGGGGTCCCCCATCGCCAGCCTGCAGATGCAGAGGTGCAAACTGCTCAGCCTCCAGCAGCACCTCACCAGGCCCCACATAAGCACCCTCACTCAGGAGACTCTGCTGGAAATGGACGCCTCAGCCCTGGAGTGCCCCTTCTGGGCCTGATCCTCCTGCGGCCTCCTAGCCCTGGGGGGCAGGGTCGGGGGATGGGCAGGGAGAGGAGGTGAGGGGCCAGGAGGCCAAGCTCATGACTGTGCCTTGAAGGGGACGGCAGCCTGGGGGCCGCGGCTTAGGAGCAGAAGGAGGATTGTTCTGCAGGGTAAAGGAGGAAGCTTCTCTTTTTCAAAGTTTCGGGGAGTGGAGGTGGGCAGGGCTGGCCAATAGACCCCACAGGGGCTGGAGCACATTAGGACAGTTCTTTACTGTGGGGAGATGAGACCACCCTCGAACCTTGAAGCACAGGGACATCCCCACAGCACATGCTCAGGGGCCTGGGGGAAGTGTCCTGGGTCTGGACCAGGAGGTCCACACAGGGTCAGCACATGAGGGCCCCTGAAGAGTCCACATAGGGATGCCCGTCAGGGAGCAGACTCTGGTCCAGGGGTGGTGGTGGGAAGTGAGCCTGGACAGACACCGAGGGCTCCACTGCAGGGCAGGTCCCAGCAAACTGAACTTACACCTCCACGGGGACCACACTGGACTAAGCAGGATCAGATGAGGCCAGAAGGAGGTGCGTCCATGCCCCACGAGGGCCCCAAACAGCGGGGAGGGGAAATGTGGTCTCCCATGGACAGATGGGGGCACTTACCTGCTTGCCACCTGGACGTCGGGCTCCCTTCTTGTAGCTGCAGGACCACAGGTGTGTGGCTGCCCTCACATGGGCACTGCCCTTGAGGGCAAAAGACGGAGCCCTGCACTGGGCAAGCTCCAGCCCCATTCTGCTCGCCTGAAGCCCATGGCCTCTGGGCAGGGGGTGAGGGGCTGCTCCAGGTGCCCAGGGCCTCTGCAGTGCCTGGGCTCTGCGCTCCAGGAAAGCCAGGCCCCTCTCCAGTGGCTTGCGGCACACTCTCTCGTCCCACCTCCCACTGTCATGGTCCTCAGTCTCGGTTCAGTTCCGCCGTGTTCCTCCACGTGGGTCAGGGTGGCCTAGAAGGCGAGGTTGATGGCACGGTGCGTGCGGCCCCCACACCAGCGCCCAAGGCAACAGAATCTTAAAACCAGGCAAAGGTGTGCTGGCCAGAGGTGCGCAGGACCCCAAGTGAGGGGGTCCTCATGGGCCACCTGAGGGGTCAGGGGAGCCGTCCTCGGAACATCCCCCACGACCCATCTGGGCTTCCCTGAATGAGGATCACCTCTGTGGTCACAGGCTTCACTGTGTCCTTTTGTGGGCTGCCTGTGTTCTTCCTGATCGGTTCATCCGAGATGTGTGCTGCGCAACTGAGGGCCCACGAGGTGGGAGTGTAGGGCTGTGGATGCTCCTGCACAGAAGCAGCTCTTTGCACCTGCTCAGCAGGGAACTTGTGCATCCCTGTCACCGGGATCGGGAGGCTGCGTCCCAAGGAGGGACCCCAGGGTCCAGCAGCCAAGACCAAGCCTCTTCCAGAGGAGCCCCAGTCAAAAACGAGTTTTAATTCTGGCTCATCAGAGTGGACAGCTGCCCGCTCAGAGGTGCTCAAAGCCCCCCTTTCTCCCTCTTCCTCGATGGGACGGGGTCCCCAGAGACCAGATCCTCTTGGGGCTTCAGGGACTGGACGGGGCATCTTGTTTTGCCGCCCAGGCACCCACTGCTCTCGGGTCCAGCTGGAGGAAAGGGGTCTGGCTCCTCTGGGGGCTGGAAGAAACAAGATTCAGGACACAGGTCAGGGAGGCTTCTCTGGAGAGGAAGGGGCTGGAGGGAGGGGGAGGGGGTGGGGGTGGGGTCAGGGAGAGGGAGAGGATGCCGCTGCCCCGAGGGGAGCCTCCTGCACACCCTCGGAAGGGCACCGCATGGGCTGAGCGGGATGGCGAGGCCAGCGCTGCTGGTCCTCTCATCTTATGTCGGAAGGAAGCAGTGCTCAGGCCTTTGCATGTGGCCCTGGTCTAAAGCCTCAGTAATGGCACCACGGCTGCGCATGACTGATTTCACGCCTGTGAATGAGACCCGCGTGTCACGGAAGCCCGGGCACTTCCGGGCGAGTCTGCAGTGTAAGCCCAGCTTGTCCTCGGCGCCAGTGTTAAAGGACAAGGAACGCGAGAGGGCCGTGCTCTCCAGCGCTGCTTCCTGCCGAGGCCACAGAAGCGGGGAAGCAGAGCGCGTGCGCGGCGCCGCCGGCGTAGGCGCCACGAAGGGTTCCCCCGCGCTCCTCCCCGCTCAAGAGGGGCAAGCGCCCTCAAGCCCTCCGACCGACCCCTGAATCCTGGCCCTGGATTTGGATCGGCCCTCTGCACACGCCGTGGGCTTCCGACAGCACGCGGGCGGCTCGAGCGCAGGGGGCCCCGCTGGCCCCTGGGGGGCGCGGCGCCAGCCGATGAAATACTCACCGTGTCGGGGCCAGGCGAGCTATGACCACAGAATGAACGCTAAGGAGAAAAATAAGAACAAAAATAGAAACTGAAAAGGGACGGGGAGGGCAGAGACATGGAGGGAAGAGAGAGAAAAAGAGTTTGTACAGCTCTGGCAAGAAAGGACCTGGTCGCAGACACAACAAGACGCGCCTCCAGCAGGCACGGGCGTGGACGTGGCGGGCGCGCGACCCCCGGGGCGTGAAGACAGTGCTGCCCGCGCACCCACACGCACGCGCGTCCGCCCGCCGCCAACGTGGAGCTGACGCTCCGGACCCGCGCGGGCGGAGGATGAGGCTGGGGTCTTGTGGAAAGACCTTCCGAGGGCCGGGCAAACCCAGAGCCCCGACAAGGCGTCGGTCCCGGTCCCACGGTAGGTGGGAAAGAGCCAGCAGCCTGCACAGATGCCACACGGACGCCTCCCGCGGCATTGGGAGGGCGGGGGCGGGGGGGCAGCCAACTCTGCAGCGGCATAGCCACGGGAAAGGAATTCACACCCGGCGGTTAAAATCCAAGTGTTTCATACGCACAATGCTCTCCCGTGAAGATGCAAAGGGAAACAGACGTTTATTTGCGGGGGAGAGACCGCCGCCGCGCGGTCCTGAGGCTGGACCCTGCGCACAGCGCCCCTGCCCCTCCGGGCCTGTTCCCCATGGTCAGCGTCCACAGGGCAGCAAATTCTATTTGCAGGAACGCCTCCCTGCTTCCCACCCTGCGCGGTTCTAGGGCCCGCTCACGGGCACTCAGGGCATGACGACCACTGGGCAGATGACAGTAAAGGGTCCAGGGAAGGGGCAGGTGTTGTCACTGAGGAGCAGGGGTGGGTGGGGTGTGGCAAGCGGCCACTGGGAAGGGCCACTCTCTCCTGCGGCCTCTTCCTGGGATGGAGGCTGTGCCCCCCCGCGGGGCTCCCGAGCAAGCAGCAGCCTCCTGCTCTTTCCAGAAGAGACAAGGCCGGGAGGTGGCCCCACTGGCCGCTTCACTCAGCACCCAGTGGGGAGCTGGTCATTTGGCGAGATCCACCCCAAGAACCGAACATCAGCGTGACCATGGAGATATGAAAATATCCCTAAATCACAGAGAAAGAACAGCCCCCAAACTAAGCAAACACCACAGGAAGAGTGTTCCCTCTGGGCACACTCTGGGCACACTCTGGGCACCTTGATTTAGGGAGGGCCTAATCGGGCTGAGCGGACAGAGCCCCGGTGACTCCATGCCTGGAAGGGCTGGGGGTCTGGGAAAAGAGCCAGCTGGTCCGCCCCAGGCCCCAAACTTCCTGCACGCCAGCACCTGAGTATCCTAACCCCAAAGCAGGTGCATTAAGGCCCAGAAACCAGAGACTGGTGTTGGACAGATGACCTGCTTTCAAGAGGAAAATCTGGCCTTTCCCGAACTTGACTTTTAGACCAACCGCTTGGTGAACATGGAGGAATACCATATGTCAGCAAGGACCACCAGCCCTACAAGGACCCTAGGTCGACGGCCCAGTTCCCACTGCTACAGCCAGGGAAACTGAGTCCGAGAGAGACGTGGCCCCTGTGAGGCGGCTCGGCTTCCTGTTCACCATCGCCCCACGCCCCAGAGCACACTAACTGGCACCACTCCCCATGAACAAAACAGACCCCAAAACGCGCATGTATGTTACCTTTTCCTCCAGTTCCTTTATTTGCCTCTTCTGACCTTCTATTCTTTCTTCTAACTCTTTAATTCTCTGCAATGTTAAAGGAGGAAAATCTTCACTCATCGGAGTATTTGGGAACCAAGGTGTTCGTTCATTTACGTGTTGGACAAGTCATAGAGCCACTGCCAGCCGGCACCAGGAGTGAGTGACCGGGAGCCTGGCTGTCCTCTCTCTGTGACTGCTCACCCCTCGGCATCCGTGGCCAAGCAGGATGGCAGCTTGGCTTTCCTCAGTTTCCCTGGCAGACACAGCCTTCCTCAGTCGTCTGCTCTGCTCCTCCCGCCCCTACAACTTCAGATCATAAACCGTGTGCTGGAAACCCCAGGAATCGATTCACACCCTTCCCAGACGGCACCAGCAGCAGCGTGAAGGGCCACCACAAGTCACAAAGCCGCCCCAGGGAGGACTCCCTTGCAAAGGTGATGCTGTGCTTGAAGCCCTAGTGTTCACAGTGGTAGACCAGGCCCATGAGATGCAAATTTGTGCATCCTCACTGGACTGGGATGCCTGGACCCTGGAAGCAGCCGAGCTCTGGCCACAGCCTGTCTAATGGGAAGGACGGGCCCACAGGTACGGTCCTCACAGTGGCCACCCTGAATCTCGCAGCAAGTGTCCTGGCAGCCGACTGATGCTCTGATCAGACGTTACCCAAACATTCACAGTAAAGCCTGGGTCACTAATTTTTCTGACTTTGCAAGTGGAGCCTTTGTATTTGGGGTGTTCTGAGCACAGAACGCATCCATAAAGGCCCCTTCCGGGCCCCATGGGCATACACGGGAACAGAGGCTGTCTAATGCCCGGTCCCTCACCTGCTGCTAGAAGTGGACCAGCTGGATTAGCCTGAGGTCCTAAAGTGCCCAAGGTCAGGAAAAGGCCAGGGGCTGCTCCCCAGCCCACGAGCTGCCCAGACCACACCTTCACCACGTCCTTACAATTGAAGGAGGAGACATCTTAGAGACCTTGCAGTCAGGAGACCCAAGAGAGGGCATGCGTCACCCCGAGGCTGGTCTGATGGGGCAGGTAGTGTGGCACAAGGGCCTGCCATGGGAGGGTGTGGCCACCAGAGATGTGGCTACCACGGGAGGGTGTGCCCGTGGGACTCTGCAGATGAAGCACCCGGCCCCCTCTTCGGCCCCCCCCCCGCCGCCCCCCGTGCACCTGCTGTGCCAGCTGCAGCCCCCTCTTCAGCCCCCCTGACCCCCCGTGCACCTGCTGTGCCAGCTGCAGCAGCTCCATGCGCTCCCGTAGGATCTGGGCATCCCGTTCCCGCAGCTCGCTCATGACCTGGCGCTTCCACTGCTCCACGGCCACCTTGAGCTTCTCACGCTCCTCCTCCGACAGGATCTCGGCCACTTTGGCCCCGGCCTCCTGCTGCAGGGCGTCGTACAGCATGGCCTCCAGCTCCAGGATGTGCTGGGGCGGGAGGGGACACGTTAGTCTGGCCTGCCGGTCAAAGGGAGCCCCGTGATCCCTTGAGGTGACAGCGCCTCCAAGCCACCCCACAGAGGGGCCTGTTTCCTCCTCGACTGGCTTACGTGACCTGTAGCGTGGAAACCCAGTGCAGGAGTCGTTATGACAAGAGCATTCACTTCTACACGGGTTTTGACGTGTGCAATAAAACTTCGGAGGTAGAGTCTTAGCTCACGCTAACGTCTGGAAAACGGGTAAGCAGATATTCGAGACGAGAGTAGGGGGACAGCTCCGAGGAGCCGGAGGACTGGACGCTGAGGGAAGGCCTCTTCCTTGGCTCATGGCCTTCCTCAAACCCTGGGTTTACGAGCCCCAAAGAAGGAAGAGGGGCAGTGCTCACAGGGGTTTCTCTGATGTAAGGACAGAAGTGGGGGAGGTCCTTGACTTTCAGCCTCTCCCCGGGGAGGCCGGGCCACTCTGTGGTCCTCAGTGCCACGTGTGGTGGGTCAGTCGTGTACCCAAGAGATATGTTCAGGTCCTGATCCCTGGAGCTCATGAATGTGGCCTTATTTAGAACTAGGGTCTCTGCAGCTACCCTCACGTTAGGATGGAATCATACTGGATGGAGAAGGCATCCAGCAATCCAGAGACTCGTGTCCTTACAAGGAGAGGGGGCTTGGAGGCAGTCACAGAAGCCATGGGGGAGAAGCCATGTGAAGAGGGAGGCAGAGGCTGGGGGACACCTGGAGCCGCCAGGAGCTGGAGGGGGCAGGAAGGACCCTCCCTGGGGCCTCAGAGGGAGCGCGTCCCTGCTGACACCTGGTTTTAGCCTGACCTGCTGGGCTCTGGGTGCCCCTTTCTCTCAGCTGCTCCCTGCTGTCTCGGACACGGCCTCACCTTCGCTGGCAGCCAGGCCCCATGTGCTTGCTGAGCTCACCTCCCGGCTTCATCACCTCCACTCTCCAGATGATGAATCCTGAGAACTCCTGTACCCCTGTGCCTGGTGTGCCCCGCCCAGCCCAGGTTAGGACCCCATGCCCGCAGAGCTGTCCAGTGCCCGCCCCTTCCCTGAGGCAACTGCTCTCCCAGCCCCAGGTCGGGAGATAAGTGGGCTCCTGCAACGTGCACGGGGTCCCGCGGGGGACAGCTGGGGTCCAGACCCTGCAGGGGGCTCCAGAGTTCAGGCCTCACGCCGCTCCTGAGGGCTCGGACACAGAGAACCCCTCATGCCGCTGGTCCCCAAACACGTGCTGCCCCACAGCTAGGGGCCACGGCGCTTGCCACAGATCTCAGGGGAATGACCTGTAGTCCCTAGGTCCCCTCCATGAGAACACCTGAGAGAAGCCGAGAAGCTGACCGGCTGAGTGCGAGCCAGGCCCTGGGACCCCCCCCCAGGCTGGGGCTGAAGCTGAGGCTGATGTGGGAGAAGGCCGAACAGGGGCCGCGGGCGCTGGCAGGGCCCTGGGGACAAGGAGAGAGCCGCATGGGGCGTGGGGCTCACCCCTCTGCCGCCTTCCAGAAATCCAGCGCCAACCAAAGCAAAATGACCCCTTTGCGGCAGCTCAGCAGACAAAATGCATACCTTGTTATAAATTCCTAAGGACTTACCAACTGGATCTGTAATACTTTTAAAACTTTTTCCTCCAGAGATTTTCCTGATGCAATCTTTGAAAAAACCAAATTCCTAAACTACAGAAACCCATCCTCCCATCAAAAATGTAATCTCTTCAGAAATGAAGGGTCTTTTTTTCAGGCAAAATGATTATGAAAAGTCCTTTCAGCTTTAGTAGACATTTTAGGGAATGAAAACAAACCCTTTGGACCTCACATTTTATTGTTCTTGACAGTCACAAAATAAACTGTCCCCAGCTGTCACCACCCACTCACTCCACATCAGCCACTTCTTAGAGCAGAGGCGCTTAGGCGGTTAAGATAAGCTCAAGCATTTAAAAATAAATAAAATGCAGTTGGGGTGTGTGGGGGCTGCTTACTGCTAGCATCACAAAGGCTTCGCACAAAGCTGGAAACAAGAGAGGTGCAGTGACCTTCTCCCCGACCTGAGCACCAGCCACAGGCCCCCTCTAGGGTACCAGCAACTTCCCGAGAGTGGCCACCATGCAGCAGGGACCAGCGTTTCCCCTTCGAAACCCCCACCATCACCTTGAGACCACAGAGCAGGGAGGGTGTGAAGCCGGGGCAGGGGTGTGCAGCCCTGTAGCCCCCCGAGGGCACCCTGCTCTCTGAGACGCAGGTGCACGTGTGTGTGCACGCGTGTGTGATATTCAGCCCTCTCTGACACCCCGCACACTGACCCGTCTTTTCGACACTGACACCACATATTCCTGAACCGTATCCTGAGGAATGCCCGGGGCCTTGGGATGAGCTGTCCCTCCGTGCACGTGTCTGGGATGCAGGACCAGAGCACAGGGAGCAGCGGTGGGGGGCTCAGGGCTGTCCAGCTGCCCCCCAAATACCGCGAGCATCCTTCCCACCCAGCACTGTGGACTGCAAACAGGGATCTTGGCCCATATTTCTGGGAAGTTCCATCAGTGCCTGTTCGGCTCTCCAAGGCCACTGCCCTCCACCACCTCCTCTATGGCTGCTCACACTGGTGGTGAGTGGGCCACCGGCACCACCACCATCACCCAGGAGAGGAAGCCCACCCTCAGCTTGGGCAGAAGCTCTGCCCGGCCCCACGGGGCCCTTATGGGGTTAACGGAAACCACGCTGTCAGCTTCCAGGCTGGGCAGGACCCGCTGGTGCCCTACGTGCTCTCTGCACAACTACCTCGCTCTCCTAACACTCCAGAAGGCGGGCACTCAGACCTCTGCTTATCATGTGGGACGTCCCTGGTCTCAGGTGTCCAGCTAGTGGGAGGGTCCGTTCCCAACCCCTCGCCTCACAAGGGCCCCTGGACAGCCTTCCCTGAGCTGGCGCCGTGACTCGCTCTGAGTCTAAGGACTGGCAGTCCAGGCGGACACAAAGGCAGGCCTGGAAGCACCGTGCCGGGAGGTGGCATGGACTCAGGGTGTAAGTGACTGCCGGGAGAGTGTGGGCGTCCCACCTCCGGGAAGCCCCCCGTGGTGCGCCTCGGCTGGACTAATCTGAGCAGCAAGGATGTGGTACCCGATCTGGATTCACCTCTTGAAACAAAGCAGCCCGAAGCTCCAGAGATTTCTCCTTGTCAAACCAGTGTCAGTGAGGACTGTGTCACCGTGGTGGAGACATGTCCACAAGGACTCCCCGATCTCCGTGTTAACCCCAAGTGGGGACCCCCACGTTTATCAGCGGAGGCAAGTGCTCCCCACGGCCAGGCAGATGTACAGGCCGATACAATGTCCATTCCTCAGAGTAGCAGGTGCACTCTCACAGGAAGTCCCAGAGACTGTTTCTTACAAACATTCAACCGTGCTCAATTAATTTATAAATGTGTTATGTGTCAATGAATCCCATTTTCTCAGCTCATTTTAAAACATCCATTTGAGTTTTGCATTCACGGGGTGAAGTGTTTGCTGCCGGACCAGTAAGGCATCCCTGGACCTCACTGACCAGGAGGGAGCAGTGCAGAGACTGGCCCCACGGTGGTCACACTGGACCCAGACCCCGAGAGACACCACACAGCATGTGAACGCTTTCCCCATTTCTACCTGAAATCTGCATGCTCCCCCTGTCGGTTTCTCTTACCTTGTGAGCCTGGTCCAAGGACTGCTTCCTGTAATCCAGCTCCTCATCCAGGTAGCCCTTCTGCTTACTGAACAGCTCCTGAAACACAAAAGGACCCGTGTCTCAGCCTCGGGCATCCACCTGCTGATGCCGTGCCGCAGACACAAAGCAAGACACCCACCAACCTTCTCACTTTCTAGGTCAACCATCCTCCGATGCAGGGCCGACTCTGTTTCTTCAATCTGCTGGAGCCACTGGACACAAACCGAAAGAGCAGGTGACGGTGACCTTTTGGGTGGCCACACAGGCACCAAAGCCATCCCACCCTCCCCCAGGCGCCATGGACAGCCTGAGAGTGGGGACGGGGTTGGCACTGTGAGCCCTGAGAGTGGGGA